TATGGGACACTATTTCCAGCCGTGCTTCTGTGAACAATTAGATTTGCTCCTGCCCTTCGAATCCATAAAGTCCAACTTGGCTTTCTGACACTTGACTGAGCTACTTAGATTAGGGAAAGCTGATCTTAAAAGAGAAAAATTGGATGTTCGGCAAACCCAGCAGATATTTTGAAACTCACTTGGAGCTGATAAGAGTCATCGTAAATTTAAACATTACCTTGCCTTGCACAGAAACCATACTAATAAATGGCTTTGAATTTTTTATGAATGACTGAGTACAGTGCTTTACTAATAAGCCCAAGCTGTGGTGCTTCCTATTTTTCATTTCTTTCTTTCTTTCTTTCTTTCTTTCTTTCTTTCTTTCTTTCTTTCTTTCTTTCTTTCTTTCTTTCTTTCACAGAAAAGGTACTGATGAGGTGTCATATAATTTTACACGTTGCATAACTGCTTTTAACTACTAAACTCTCTCTGATTAAAATAACAATTGAGCCTGTAATTTTTCTGAACAGCTGCTGCTACAGGGGGTCATTACCTTAGAGAGCTTAGAAATAATTGTACTCCTAATACATGAGTTATGTAGTCTCATGTTTTACAGCAATGCACAAAGTTTAAAGCCTATAGTAGAATGTTATTTGAAAGCTGTCAAACCATGTTAAAAAAGACTGCATCGTCAAAGGCCCTTGTGGCCAAGATTCAACATGTAGCCTTGTCTTACTCATTATAAAATGCATGTTTATAAAGTTCCACAGAGCATCCAATTCCCAATTCACTTATATCAGCAAGACTTAACTTGCTCATTAATCTAAATTCTTTTGCAACTTTAATCTACATGTTTAATTAATCATAAAATGAGGCGGTAAGTAATTTCAGCAATGTGTGGCTTGTTATCAGATGCATTTAATCACTCTTCTGTGAGCTCATTTGGAAACACCTGAAGATGTCGAGAGCAGTTTGAATAAGCATAAATTATTCTTTGTCAGTGTACTTCACCCAACTAATAAGACATTAATTTAAAAAGGCACTGTTCGTCATTTTTAGTTCTTCACCAATATTTTTAGCTTAGCAATACAACTCTAATTGTATATTCTGTACAATTCACAGTATAGTGGCCAACAGTGAAACAGGAAATATTATTCAATTCATTTTTCCTGTTTACATGTAATTACTCTGTGTAATCTTAGGTTGAATGAAGATTAACCATAGTTATCAAATCTTAAGTATTTAAATGTTCTTGGAACAAGCTACTAGTTAATTGAAATCATAAAAGCTACTAGATGGTATAACAACAGTTGTAAGATTATATCTCCTCCATGTGTTTACTTTGTTTGGAATGCCATTACATGATTTCTTCTTTACTGTATTAAATATATAGCTAAAATACAATATAGGAAGAACTAACTTGTACTAATGAAGGCTCAAGTTTTAAAACAGACTGATTTTAGCGAGCTTGCAAAGTGCAGCAGAATCTCTTGTTTTGCTCCAGTTGTATTTTTCTCCACATTTCAGTATATGAGTTGCAAAAGAACTCCCGTGCTTATTGTTTCCCCAGGTAGGTATCACTACTGATGTTGGCACAGTTCCTTCAGAGTTGTCTATATATGACAACTACAGTGTATTGGGGAGCTGCGGTGGCTCAAGTGGTTAAGACACTGAACAGCAGGCTGTGGAAGGTCGGTAGTTCAGCAGTTCGAGACCCGAGTTGCCGCATGATGGAGTGAGCTCCCGTCTCTCGTTCCAGCTCCTGCCACCCTAGCAGTTCGAAAGCAAGAAATTGCAAGTAGATAAATAGGTACCACTTTGGTGGGAAGGTAACAGCGTTCCGTGCGCCTTGGTGTCTAGTCATGCCGGCCACATGACCACGGAAACGTCTTCGGACAGCGCTGGCTCTTCGGCTTTGAAACGGAGATGAGCAACCCTAGAGTCGGATTTGACTGGCTTTCGAGCAAGGGAACCTTTACCTTTACTTACAGTGTATTGGAGGTTTATGCCTTGCTTAAACAGGTGCATAGATTCCTAGAATCAAAGCTCCATGTTGTTGTGCTATCATGGTGAATTTCCTGATATAGGGAAGTTCCCAGGGTCTGCACTCTCCCTTTTGCCAAGAGCAGCTGAAGATCGTGAGGCCCCCCCACCTTCTTTGTTGTGTGGCTATTACCGGATAGACCCATTATTTTTTAGCCCCTGATTGTCATTTGTGGACAATGGCAGTACCATTAAATAAGACTCACATGACCTCGTGGAGGTATTTCATTGTGGTGTCAGAAATTTAAAGATTAAAAATGTCATTTTAGAGAATATCAGTGGCTGCTCTATTTTTGTCATGAATGGATGACTTTTGTAAGAATACTTATTATTTTGGAAAGAAAAGTATTAACCTTCCAGGGAATCTGAGTATTCTCAAGTACTCACCCTGTGACCGTTTTCTTTTCTTGGATATTCCACAGCAGCAAAATGCAGGAAATAGGGTTTTCCCCAAAAAAGTTGTACACTTCTTGCCATATTTTGCTGCATTCCATATTTTCTTGAAGCTCCAGTTTCTTTGACTGTGTTGTGCTCTAATAAGATCATTAGTTAGGTATACGGTCTCTGTGAACTGTCAGAGATGCTGCATTGTTGAAGCAACAGCAATAACCTGTGGTAACTGGTCTCTTTCTGCCTTTGCCTGCTGACAAATTCTCTCCTTCCATCTCTACAATTTGATGTTTATTTTAAGCCTATATTCTCTCCAGATGGAAGCGATCACAGAGTGCTAAGCATGTAAAACAGCAGAGCTTTTGCAAAGTCATATAGTACCAACCAGCAGGCTAGACAGTTTAACAATGTTCCATGAAACTGCTTAAATAAAACTATGCTGAGAATCTGACTGGGGGGGACGGGACCTAATAAGAATATATGTCTACTTCTTAGTTTTTCTTTATGCAAGAAATTATTACGACTTGTTTTTAAATTGTAGTGAACACCATTCATGAAGTATGAACTACTTTAGACTAAATGGAATCTTCTAGACAAATGAAATAAAATGATCCAGTCTGCAAAAAGTGCCCAGAGCCACCAGTCCAGCAAAGGGAGTACTGCATTCAGACTTTAGATCCAGCTGCCTATTGTATTGTGTTTGGAAACTTATAGCAGTACCCCGTGTCGGCTCCAGCCTTCTATTGGCCTTGGGTGACAGAATATAACCAAGCCCCCTTTCCCTTTTGGTACATCCCCTGCTTGATGTGAGAATGGATGTGAGCTGTCTTGGTGAGAGCTTAGCATCAATTACCATGAAGTAATAAAGTTGCCATTCTCCCCTTGCAATGTGAGAAAAGAAACAGGATTATTTCACTGCAGGTGTGGGCTTTGGCATCTGCCCCAGCCCTCCCACTGCCAGTGCTGGCTCTGCAGTACCTATTTGTGTTTCCACTACAAGTTTGCCTCAGTATTGCTATTTCCTCACAACTACTCTAATTTGGGTGTAGACATAGTAGTAGTTGGTGTGTCAAGTGAATGGCCCCAAGTTAGACTAAATAATATGGTTAGTGGTGGTCTGATATAACTCTACAAGCTAACAGCATTAACTTGCTGGGTGATCTTGTGCAAGTTAATATCTGGGCCAGTTCATCAGTCTACCTCATAGTAGAATGCCAGAAATACTCAGGGTTACTTCCAGTGGATATTTCCCCGTTCTCCCTGCAGTCCTCCACCTCTCCGAAAAGTTGCTCCTTAGGGCAGTCCTTAGAAACTGAACTGGGTGTCTGATCCTCTGCAAATGGAACAAGAGCATGAACTTCTGTTGATCTGTCCCTTCCTGTTGCATCACCAGTGCCATATCCCATTCTGTTCCCAAATGTTCTCTAGCTTTCAGCAGCAGCATTTTAGGGATAGTGTCAGTCTGCAGGGGTGGGGGAAGATGAGTGCATTCATTTCATTCATGGTTCATTGGATCCAGCCCAATGAAAGTGGGTTTATATTTTTATTTATCAGCTTTAATAGCTAAGCGCTTGCTGTGACCTTGGTTTGGAATCAGCTGAGATGGTTGGAAAGATTAATTCATTGCATGGATTATGGGATCATACCCTTAAGGCTTTATAAACTAGTTGAAACATATGAAATCTATGTAATTTTACATTTTATTCCATTAGTGTCTGTTTTTTAAAAAAATCCCAGGTGTTGGTCCAATTGCTAAAGGGCTTCATCTTCAAAGGATACATTCATGAGGACATCACAAATGGCTCAGTGTTTGTTCCTTGTGGCTCATAAATGTTTTGATGGTTATAATTTTATAGTGGCTTCTCAGCTGCCTCGGGATTTTTATTACTACTTTTTCAAGTTAGTGAAGAGAAAAGGTTCTGTGCTGAGGTCTGTTCTCCCTTTGATTGGATTGTGAATCAGTAGATATTCAGACTAAGATAAATGTAACACATGTTTCAGGCCTTTAGATCCTTGTAGGATAATAAAACACACAGAGAATGCCAGCCGTATGTAAACATCTAGCTGTGATACTGATTGATCATATTAATTGTTGTTAGTGTTTTCTAAAGTAAAGCTTTTAAATCAGGGCTTTTTTTGTAGAAAAAGCCCGGCAGGAATTCATTAGCATAATAGGCCACACCCAACAGCAGAAACTCATCAGCATATTAGGTCACACCCCTAACAGCACAACTCATTGGCATATTAGGCCGCACCCCCATGATACCAGAAGTGTGCTCATCCAGCCACAGCCACCTTTTGCTTCTTATTCTGTTTACCCAGGGCCTTTTTTGTAGCAGGAACTCCTTTGCATGTTAGGCCACACACCCCTAATGTAGCCAATCCTAATGAGTTTCTGCTGTTGGGTGTGGCCTATTGTGCTAATGAGTTCCTGCTGGGTGTGGCCAACTTGGAAGCCAGCTGGAACTCCGTTCCTGTGTGTTCCTGCCCCAAAATAGCCCTGTTTTAAATAAGTCTTTTCAATGCAGCTTGTTGGAAGATGTGAAATATTACCACTCTCACCTTACTTTCTATCTTGTTTGTAATAGGCCCACTGGCTGTTGTCTTGCTGGCTCCTTCTCTGATGACAACTATCACAGCATCCTGCTAGAACACAGAGTCAGCCTGTGACGGGGCCAGGTAACATTTGCATATTCCCCTAAATGTTCTAACCAGTGGTAAGGAATTTTTCCCCCACCCACTGTTCTCCATATACTATCTTTGTGTTCACTTACCTCCTTATGAGATCAGATTTAGAGTCCAGTGGCACCTTTAAGACCAAGAAAGGTTTATTCAAGGTATGAGCTTTCGTGTGCAAGGCACACTTTTTCAAACACATTGGAATAGCAGGTAAGGTTCAAACTGATTGCCAGAGAATGAACAGCAAATTAACATGTAACATGATGATGTTCAAGCCATGCAAAGTGAAAAATAAATAACAATTTAGTTTTGTTCGACTAAATAACAAGTTATGGTCATCACAGTTGTAAAGCAATAAATATGTCAAAATGGCAGATACATGTCCAAAGATGTATTTTCTAATTGTGGGAAGTAACTGAGAATCTTAATTCTCTCCTCTTAGGTATAGAGGTCACTTAACAGCATTTTTTGAGGGGAATGTAGTGTTCAATGTTCCCTCTAAGCTGTGGAGTCTTGTGAGCAAAAATTCTACTTTGTGAGCTCTTGGCATTCAAGTTGTGAGCAAGCGATTTGGCTACTGCGGAAATTAATTTGCTCTGGAGCCATTTTTCCTGAGCTAAGATAAAAATGTGTGAGCCGGAGGCTAAAAAACTGTGAGCTAGCTCACACTAACTCAGCTTAGAGGGAACACTGGTAGTGTTATGTCAGCAGACATCCCAATATCCCTTGTATTACACTCAGTATTCTAATATACTATTCTGAAAAAGAAATACACTAAAATACAGAGGATCTATCTCCTTATGAGATGTTTGGGGTATTATAAATGGAATTCAAAAACTGTGTTTCACTTTGGTTGAATGCCCCATCTGTTTAGCAAATGTAGTCTTATATCAGCTCCATATATTCTTCTACCCCACACACACCACCAGTATCAGTGATGAACCCTCAGTCATATTAAATTAATACATTACAATTTATGCTTCAAAAGTGAATTTAAAATGTATGACTTGGAAAATAAAATAACATTTCATTGCTGTGTGGTAGCCAAGTCTGTAGCTAAAAATTTTATAGTGAAGTGGTGTAAGTACACAGGTTGTCAAGTCCTCATTATTTCTTGGGCTCACTGGTCAGGGCCTGATGATGTCATGGGGTTGGGACCAATGCTCCCTCTAAGCTGTGGAGTCTTGTGAGCAAAAATTCTACTTCGTGAGCTGCTGGCATTAAAGTTGTGAGTGAGCGATTTGGCTACTGCATAAATTAGTTTGCTCTGGTGCCATCCTTCCTGAGCTAAGACAAAAATGTATGTGAGCTGGAGGCTAAAAAACTGTGAGCTAGCTCACACTGACTCAGCTTAGAGGGAACATTGGTTGGGACCTGGTGGTGTCACATTAAATAGCAGCATTAATGGTAGTACTTTGACACACCACTAGGTATATGGTATCTGAGGATGTGTGTCTTTGAAGAGGCGGGTTATTTACCAGAATAAAGAATAAAAATAACAGTAAGCTAACTAGATGCTAAATATAAAATGTAATTGAGCCATTAGTGCTGGATTATTGCTTCCCATATCCAGTTTACATGTGTTGTTACCGCAAACAGGCATACACAGAGGACTTAGAAGAAGGCATATAACTGTAATAGGGTTGCCAACTATGCGAAGAAAAAAATGTTCTGTCCCTTTATGAGTTGTTATTTACCAGGTGATGTTGTTGACCTGTGAACAGTGAGAACCTTCAGCTGCTCATTTCCATGCATTCAGCCTCCATTAAAGGGAAAGGACATTTTTCTCCATGCCTGTTGACAACTCTGGTAATGTGCCATACTGTCAGCTATCCAGGGAAAGATGATTAACTTATAATCGTACTATGAGTTCTTCATTGATTTAATTAGTGTACCTATATTCTGTCTTAGTAAAACCTGGGACTCCATTACTCATTAGAGGTGTTAATTAGTTTAGCATAACTAGTGAATGGTCTCAGTATTTTTCTTGATTAAATTTTAATTTTACATAGTTAAATCTTACTCTCTGCTTCCTGCATTTCATGTCTCTTTGACCGTGCTGTGTTTTAAATGCCTCATACATAAAATGGCAGCATAGTGAATATTGGCTCATTTTACCTGAAGAAGTGGGCTCTAGCCACAAAAGTTATGTTGGAATAAAATTTTGTTAGTCTTTAAGGTACCACAAAACTTCTGTGTTTCAACTCTAATATCAGATTAACTGAAGGAAAAAGTCCATGCTCTTAAAGTAGTTTGTTGGGACAAACCATGTAGATGAAGAATAGAACAAAGTATTACACATTATTATGTTTATATAATGGAGAAATGTTAATACTACACATCTGTCACAAGTACAGGGGCCTTATTGAAAGCAAGGATTATGTTATCATTTTCATGAGTATACCTGACTAACAAACAATAATATCCCACTACAGAAACCTGCTCTGTTTTCTCTGGCTAGGCATATATATGCAAGCTTGGGTCCCTGTGAGGAATTGTGGGAGAAAAGAACACAATTTAGAAATCTTCTTCCTGAAGTTCTCTTGGGCTTGAGCAGAATTCTTTGCCTCCTCCTTTAACTGACAATCAACTGTTTTCAGCATTTCAACCTTTCTGAAGCATGTTCTGTCCTTATCGTGCTGTTTTTTAAAAGCTGTTTTCTTTTATTTAATTTACCCGGGTAGTTCCCCAAACAGGATATCTTTACCTTGTTTATAGGTGGCCTGGTGTAGCAGACACCATCATTCACACAGGGGACAGCTTGTGTGCTGTGATATATGTATATGCAATCCTAAAATTTAAGACCTACTGACTTTATTTTCATTTAGATGAGTGGAACTCTGCTCAGGGTGGCACTGTAAGTGATTAGAATTTCAAAATGGGCTTCCTAGTGGTATTTCCCAGAATCTTTTAGAAATTTCTGTTTCTTGGGATATGACGATCCGTTATCAAAGTCAGGTGAGATTGTGATTCTCTGCAACTGACTAGAGAGAAAGCTGCCTCTGGACATGTACAGAGTGTTTACTGTCATTTTCATTAGTGAAAAACCTATCAATTTCACAGTCGTCTGATATTAGGTCTCAGAAGTAATACATTAAAAATGTGGCTCAGACTGCTGTGAGGCCTAGCAATTCACTTTGCAAAATTAAGCAAAGCCAAACACATCTTTAAAGTATATTCTACTGCACTACATGAATAGTGTTGTCATTATTACAATACAGAACAGTTCTGATTTCTGATTTTACAAGGTTGTGAGATGAATATCATATCATTCTCTAGAGCACTGTGAAGATAATGTTTTCTCTTTTCTTGGGTTGATAAATGTTACAAAGTCAATGCAGGAAAGAGGTACAGCGCCAAAAAAATGAAAATAAGTGTAGGACAATCACAATTATTTAATAAACATGAGTATTTTGGATGAAAATCTAAAACTAGTGCAATACATTTCTCCATTCCACCTCAGAGAGATTATTTATAATTTGTATGTTTGTTTATTTTAGAAATGCATAACCAATCTTTCTACTCTAATAATGTTCACAGTGTCTCTGTTACTTAAAACAACAATAAAAATAACTAAAATGCTAAAACCACTAAAACAAAGAAGTGGTAAGGAAACAATGTAAGACAGCAACCTAAAATACTAATAAGAGTTATATCATCTCACATTAGTATTAAATGCACAGTTTAGAAAGGAAGATTTCACCTGGCACCTACAGGATAATAAGGACTACAGTTACGCCCAGGGCTATTTTTGGGCAGGAACGCACAGGAACGGAGTTCCGGCTGGCTTCAGAGTTGGCCACGCCCACTCCATGGTGGGTGGGCCAGACCCCCCCCAGGAAGGATTGGGGAGGCATTTAAATGCCTCACCGTGCCTTCCCCAGCCTGTCCCGAGCAAACCAAGGGAAGGCAGTTTAAACTCCCTTCCCTTCTCTTCAGGGTGCCTGGGCAAGCCAAGGAAAGGCATGGGGTGTGACCTAGTATGCTAATGAGCTGTGCTATCAGCGGTGTGGTCTAATATGCTAATGAGTTTCTGCTGTTGGGTGTGGCCTATTATGCTAATGAGTTCCTGCTGGGCTTTTTCTACAAAAAAAGCCCAGAGTACGCCTGATAATCAGCATGCTTCTACAAAAAAAAAATTCCTTCCTAGTAGCCTCCCCTCCAGATGATAGGGACACATGAAGAAGGGCTTCTTCTGAAAGTCTTGATTGGCAGACAGGTTTATATAGGAGAATCGGTCCTCTGCATACCTGGTTCCAGACTGTGTTTATAGTGTTTTTGGTGGGGTTCCAAGGTACCTCCAGAAGAATGACTGGGAAGGGACAGATGGCCGCTGCAGAAAGATATTTCAGAATTACAGAACTACAACAGAAAAGGCCAAGCATGTTTTAGAGAGACTTTGAATCTGGATCTCTAAATGCAAACCCAATGTAGTCATCATTTTCTTGGTGTTAAGTATGGGGAGTTTTCAAAATGGAAAAAGTCAGACACAGAGAATCTGTAGTCTAAGGACTCTCATTGCAGTTGGTTTCTCCAGAAAAAAAAAAATAGTTTCAACCCACCTTGAAGCCCTTCTTCCAAGTTCTAGTTTTATGAAGAGGCACTAAACACTACTTAGTAATTTCAAGCATTAAACACGTGAACCATAAAAAGAGGTAGAATAATATATTTTTCATACTGCTGGCCTCTAGAAGAACTTCAGCACAAATGATAATACAATTTCTGTTTTCTGAGGTTATTGTATTTATTAAAGAGAAATGAAAGGATTGACTTGAATGTATACTTTGTCAAGAAGAAAACATTTTTAAAGACAAAATTGTCTAAGGAGCTACGATGTGAAAAAGGTGGAAAAGTAAAAAGTGTAGTTCATCGTGCATGTGATTTGCTATATAAAAACAAGTAGATTATTAAAATCTTCCTGCTTACAAGTAACTTCTCTTCACATTCCATTCTTAGGAACCGTGCTAAATGATTTAGTTAGAAAACACAATCTAAATTTG